TTGTGGGAAAATTCTACTACCAGTCCTTCATCACCTTACACGAAATAGGGTGAATACATCTCATTAAGTTGTATTTGTTATAGCAATCAATTTGATTACGTATTTTTCCTTTATAGGTAGGCTTTAGAGACTACCAACAGATCATATATATGAGATGCATTCACCCTATTTCGTCCTTCATCACCGTGAAACGGAATAAGATTAATACATCTCATATATATTATCTACTAGTAGTCTCGGGAACCTACCTATAAGGGAAAAATTATATGCGTGTCAATGACTTGAGTCTTCAAATTTTAATTTGGCCTCTAACTTATTTCTAATTTATTTGGCCTTTAGAGGGTGCTAGCTTTAGCATTGTCTAGCATGGGACCATCTCATCCAGGCTCGATGCCAGTGGGTTGTTGGCTAAATGCAACATTCAGGCAAGCCAGGCCTCTTGCAACTGTTAGGATTAGCGGAATTTTCTATTGCGATTGAAATTGAAGACGCTACTTATTTTCGATATGAGTAGGCTTCGAGTCTATTACTTCGATTAGTGATACGGACAATTAATGAATCCATTCCGTCAGCTACAACATAAAGCTATTAAAAATTTCGAAACCTAATTGCCTTTCTATCTATACTTCCTGAACTTCTTTCAGCAGCCAATGCACCAATGGTAAGACCATGGGAGGGAGAGGCGCCTGAGGAGAACACAGGACCTGCCGGTTTGGCCGTCGGAATAGCCTGGAGGCCGGTTAAGTTCAATTTACCCCAGACGGCCGAGAATTAAGTGCGAAAACGGCAAAATAATTTCCCAGACCAGCATTTTCAAATATAGACTGGCCTACAGAATCTAGACAGACAACTCGACATACAGCACTAGAGCATACCACAAACGCGAAGAAAACTCGAATAAGGGAAACTCAAAGCGAACCATCACAAGTGACTCTGCCCAACACACCGACACTCGGTGACGCAAGCAAATTACAATACACACTAGTTTCCGTAGTCCAGCTTCTCCCCATCCTAGGTTGATCCTTCCTTGCATCCCTGCCCCTAGAATACCCTTAGTTTGTCACCTTCAGGCCACTCCCCTTACACCCACCCTTCAAATCTTCGTTCCCTTAAATCCTGCCTTCCCCAACGAAGCCACAGAAGCTGCAGACCTAAAACCACTTTCGAACGTGCTGACCAATCTGGATTCGTTAGAACAACTAATCCCCGACTGGTTAAACTGGGACTCCATAAGCCTATTTGGCCTTCAAGCCTGCTGGTCTCTCCGGCTGGAAGGTTGAACCTCCCGACAAGAGGAGGCAGTTACGAAAGGCATTGACAAGCGTGACTTCTGCTCCCCTCTATAAACCTGCACTTTATCGCTTTGTATTATTTTCTCAGTGGCCGGCAGTCTACTGTCGAAAAGGCCGGTCACAGAAAGAGCCATTGCTCTGCTCCTCATCTTCCTTCCGCCTGTTAGAGCCATCCTAGCCGAACGTGTGGATGGAGAAGTTCACTCGGAATCTTCTTCTGCTACATTTCGGCCATTTCCGCCGGCTCGGTCGGTAAGTATTAGCCGGACCGACTCATCCCAGCCCGGCTTGAGCAGATCTAAAAGTGTTGGCTAGCAAAAGAACACCCAGGCATAGGGCAACGGGAGGCAACAACATTTCCATGACATTGTGTACAGTTCACCGGTAAAGTGACTGCAGTTCGGCTTGGACGACTTTCGTGAGGGTCATTCGGCCCCATCCACCTCGAACTCCTATCTCGGCTTTTAATCGCCCATCTCGCTCACTTCATGCTTACCCGAAGTCCACTCTGACCAATGGCACGCTGAAACCACCCCCTAATCTGCACCTGCAAGCCCAGGGCACTTGAAGTTTATATCATGTATCCTATTTTTTGACAATTGAACTAACCACCCAGAGTTAAACGAAAGTGGACACATATATGCATAAATATGCTGTTGGTGCACAATCACCCCACTTCAAGAACCCCCTCCTAAAGAGTTCGTTTATCGGAAAGGCGCATGTATTTTGGCAGGAAAAGCCATGCTGACTTAGACTTGTATTTTGAATCTAAAATTATGAAGTTGCTCTCGTCTCTTACCCGACTTAGCCACAAAGCAAGAAAACAAACAGAAAGGGCAAGTTTCCGAAAGAATTCTAACCAGCCTCGGCTGCATAAGAAGATAAGGAAGGTATTCTCGAATCTCTTAGCGGTCATATAATCATTCGCATCTAGGCTTCGACCTCGTCTGAGTTTTGTCAGAATCTCCGATGGGAATCGAAACCAAGCATTGTTGTGTATATTTTATACATTTAAACGCAAATCTCGGACCGTCGATAAGGCCAACATAGATTTTGCTATGAGAATCCATTGCACTACTTATATAATAAGTAAATAAGCGTTGGGGCTGACAAACTATCTTGAATAACGTGCTCCTGTGGCAACGTCTACGTGGGGGAGAACTGACGGCCCATCCATTCGTTAAGAACTATGAGACAGAAAATCTAAACTGGCTGGGCGTATGATTAATATAAGAAGGTATAGAAGTAAAGTTTTGAGACTACCAGTAAGTCAGTTATATGATATGTATTCACCCTATTTCGTTTAAGGTGATGAGGGATTAGTAGTAGAATTTTCCCACAATAATATGGATATAGCTGAAGTTTCCATTGCATTTCACATAGCTTTGCTATCCCAAAAGTTGTTCTCATCCAGGGTGGACTACGGTTTCGACCTGGCATCGGTCTTATCAACACCCCTAGCGAGATTCGGACCTTGACAGTACAGCATGTGAGCTTAATACGTTAACCACTCGGCCACATTGCTACGAGAGCCCTTGGGTCAAAAATACGTTTGCTTCATCGACAATCCCACCAAAAAATGTGATATGGGAAAAGGCCTGACCTTCCCTGAAATTCACATATTCTCTGTGACCCAAGGGCACTCGTGGCAATGTGGACGAGTGGTTAACGTATCAAGCTCACATGCTGTACTGTCATGGTTCGAATCTCGCTAGGGGTGTTGATAAGACCGATGCGAGGTGGAAACCGCAGTCCACCCTGGATGAGAACAACTTTTTGGAAAGCAAGTCTTTGTAATATTCAATGGAAACGTGAGTTTTACTCATATCATTGTAGGAAAATTCTACTACCAGTCCCTCA